GAAGGCCACGCGCTCGGAGCGCCCGAGCCGGCAGTGCTCGTAGAGCCGCTGCAGCGTGGACGCCTCCGTGCCGCCCGCCGGGTGGTGCGCCGCCTGGCCGCCGCGGCGCGCGCCGCCGGCGCGGCAGCGGCGGCGGTCGGGGGACGCCGAGGGTCGAGGATCGAGGAAGGGCCTCCCAGCAAGGAGGGCGAGGAGGGAGAGGGTCGAGGATCGAGGTCGAGGTCGAGGATCGAGGGCAAGGAGGGCGAGCAAGGAGGGTCGAGGTCGAGGATCGAGGGTCGAGGGGGAGAGCCTCCCAGCAAGGAGGGCGCCGAGGGTCGAGGATCGCAGCCGGGAGCCTTCGAGCCAAGCCCTCGGGGATGGAGTGAGGCCCTCGGGGGTCGAGGAAGGACGTCGAGGATGCAAGGAGGAAGGCCGTCGAGAGGAGTCTCCGAGGATGGAGGAAAGTCTGCGGGGATCGGAGGACGGGGGAGATCTTCGAGGGTCGAGGGGAAGAGCCTCCGAGGAGAGTCTCGGAAGATAGGGGGCAGCTTTCGGGGACCGAGGGAAGTCTTCGAGGATCGGGGAGGAAAGCCTTCAAGGGAAGTCTCCGAGGTTCGAGGGAAGTCTTCGAGGATCGAAGCTCTTCGAGGATCGAGGAGGGAACATATCGAGAATTGTCTTCCAGATAAAAATGGCATCGGGCTCCGGCTGGTCAAACACAGCTGCCCTATCCCTTTTCACTTCCCACCCTCCCCATATCCCTCCCTCCTCCTCCTCCTCCTCCTCCTCCTCCTCCTCCTCCTCCTCCTCCTCCTCCTCCTCATCCTCATCCTCATCCTCATCCTCCTCCTCCCTTTACTTTTTCTCTTCCCCCTCCTCTTAGACTGCGAGCAACGAGCAGTCCTGAACTGCATCGACTCGCGAAATCGGATAAGGCCAAAAGGTTGCCAACGAACCGCTCCGAAAAGGGATCGACGTCGGGTCGCCACGGCTCCGGCCAGCCCCCGCGGGAGCCCGTCAAATCGAACCTCCGAGGAGTCGGAGTGGAATCGCGGGCCAAGCTGGCACATCGAATCGTTGCGAATCGAATCGGTGGCGGTCCCGAGGTCCTGGGTGGTGGGCTTCTCGAGGTCAGAGAGAGCGCGCGTTTCACCGGCGCTCGCCTTGGGAATCTCAGGCGGCGCGTTTCGAACGGGGGGGTGGCCCCCCCCCCCCGACACTCGGCGCCGCCGATCGGAACCAGGGGGACTCCCCTCCCCCCTGACCCCCCCGCCTCCCGAACTCCCCCCCCCCCGTGTCAGCGCCGGCGCCGGCGCTGCCGGCCGCCAGCAGCGCCGACGGCGGGGACGCAGCGACGATGACCAGAGGGAGCCCAGGGGGGGGTCCAAAACCCCCTCCCCCCCCCGGCGCAGGCGGCCGCCAGCAGCGCCGACGGCGGGGACGCAGCGACGATGACCAGAGGGGGCCCAATGCCCAGGGGGGGTGTTGGCGTCCAAACCCCCGCCGGCGCCGGCGCTGGCGGCGGCCAGCAGCGCCGACGGCGGGGACGCAGATCGCCATATCGAGCCCTCGCCCTCCAGAAGCCACCGGGAGGCCCTTAGGAAGGTCCACGAGGCTTCACACATGCTCCTCAGACGCCCCCGAGACCCTTCTGACGAGACCTCAAGAGGCATCCATTAGAACTATGGCCCAAAGCCAAAACACGGTGGCGGAAAGAGCCAAAGGCCACACCACCACAACCACAAACCACAACACCACCACCACCACAACCACCGAAACCACCACCACCACAACCACCACCATCACCACAAACCACTACACAAACACCGCCGAAAACGCAAACACCACCAGCAGCACCACAACCATCACCACAACTCACCACCACCACAGAAACCACTACCACCACAATCACCACCACAATCACCACCACTACCACCAACACCACCCATCACCCACCACCCACCACCACCACCACCACCAGCACCGCTACCAGCAGCAGCACCACCACCACAAACCACCATGCCACCACCAGCACCACCACAACCACGACCACCACCACCACCACCACCACCTCAACCCACCACCACCACCAACCCACCAAACCACCACATAAACACCACCACCACAGCCACACCACCACCACCCCCACCACCACCACCACCACCACAATAACGTACCACCACCACCACCACAACAACCCACCATCTCTACCACACCACCACGCCACAACAACCACCACCACCACCACCACCACCCACCACACCACCACCACCACCACCACCACCACCACCACCACCACCACCACAAACCACCACACCACCACCACCACCGCCGCCACCACCACCATCACCACCACCACCTCCACAAACCACCGCCACCACCACCACCGCCACCAACACCACCACAAACCACCAGACCACAACCACCAAACCACCGCCACCACCACCACCACCACAACAACCCGCCACCACCACAACAAACCACCACCACACCACCACCGAACTTCCACCACCAACAACCACCACCATAACCTCCACCACCACAACAAACCACCACACCACCACCACAACCACAAGAACCGCCACCACCACCACCACAACCCACTACCACCACCTGCACAAACCACCACACCACCACCACCACGACCACCACCACCACAACCCACCACAACCCACCACAACCCACCACAACCCACCACAACAGACCACCACCACAACCACCACATCCACCACCACCGCCATCACCATCACCGCCACCACAACACACCAACACCAACACAACCACTACCACCAGCACAACCGCCACGACAAACCACCTCACCACCACCACCACCACGACCACCACCTTAACCCAGCATCACCAAACGAATTTCCACCACCACCACCACCAGCAACCATCACACCACTGCCACCACCGCCACCACCACCACCACAATCTGCCACCACAGCCACCACAACAACCACCACCGCCACCACCGCCACCACCACCAACCACCACACCACCACCACCGCCGCCGCACCAGCACCACCACCACCACAGCCCACCACCACCAACGGAGAGGCCCCAAGAGACGCGCAAGAGGAGCCCAGGAGGCTCCACAAATGCCCTTCAGAGGCCCCCGAGAGCCCTCTGACGAGACCCCAAGAGGCATCCATTAGGATTTTGACCCAGAACCAAGGCACAGTGGCGGAGCGTCGTCGTCGTCGTCGTCGTCATCGTCGTCGCCGTCGTCCTCGTCGACGCTCCCCGCTGCCGCGGCCCGCCGCCGCAGGCGCTGGCGCCGGCCCAGAAAAGGAATTCGCCGCCGCCGCTGCCAGCCGCCGCCGACGCAGGCGCCGGCCCGAGGAAAGGGAGAGGAAAAGTAGGGGAGAGGGGGGGGTTGAACCCCCCCCCTCCGTCACGGGAAGGGCGGGGGGGGTCGAAACCCTCCCCCCCCCAGTTCCAACCCCCCCCCCCCTCCAAGCGACCACAGAACGCGGTCTTTCCGAGTTCAGGAAGACTGTCTCCTAGCACTGTCGCGCCTGGGCTCGCCAGGTCTGCAACAGATGCTGGTGATGGAGAGCGCACAAGACGATGAGAACATAGTTGTCTGCCGCTGGGGCAGGTGTTATAGCAGACGACCAGATAATCTCGATGATGATGACGCCCTCGAGCAGGCGTGGAACCGAATCAGCATAATGATCATCGCCCAGGGCGCTGCTATGTCACGGGCCCCCCCCGGTATGTCTAATCGTCCTCGTACGCTCGCAAGCACCAGATATGGCGACTGTATGGTATGGCACAGCACCAACGCGCGCGTGCCGCAACCACAGGCGGCGAGGGTCGCAGCCTTCCTCACCGCCCTGACCCACAGAATAGGGCATGCTTGTCTAGAGGCCTCCCACATGGGGTCTGTGTAGATTGGGTCGGAGGATCACGCGGTATCACCGATGCATCGTCGATACGTCGGCGTCGTCGGCGTGGAGAAAATCGGGCTCCGCATCGAGCCGTATCGCTGATGCATCGGCAAGGCGCAGCGATCCTTCGACCCCATCTTCTTGGACCCTGCAAGATTTGCCCCGCTTTCGGCCCTGGGGCTTTCCACGGGCACCGGGACCGTCAAACAACGACTCAAGAGGAAGAGCATCCGTGGAGGCCTCCGTGGGGACCTGCGGGCCTTGACCGCCCCGATGCGCAACATGCCACCCGTAGCGTGTCGACACGGACCTCAACGCGTAGATTGAAAAAGTGAGTTCGGTGCGACACTTTCGCCCAAACGTGGGCCAACACGTTGAGTTGAGCCAACAAGCAACGTTAGGCGGCGCGCACGAGGTGGCTATAAGGGAGGGGGAAGGCGTCTTAGAGGGAGGCCGCTTCTCAGAAGGGACTTGCCCTGCATCTACAGAACAGGCCCACGCCTCCCGAGAAGCAGGGGCGCGTCTACGAGGGGCCAACACCTTGGGCCAACACGCGGCCTCTTCACACGGACGCCTTTTGCACACGGCACCTGCTGCGTTTCAGAACGGGCGCCTCAGGGCAGCTGAGCCGCGGGCCGCTCCGGGAGGCCAAGAACTACGGCGCGGAGGCCTCCCGCTCCCCCCGCGGGAGCCCCCGGTGCTCTCGACCCCACCCCGGGGACCTAGGCTGAAGTCGGGCCTGTCCCCCTACAGGGGGATCTTCGACGAAAAATAAGGAATGCCCCCCAAATAATCAAACAATCATGCAAAAATAGCCTGGGGACTATGTTTTGAACATTTTCTGGCCCTTTTGGGGTATGTTTGGGGTGTGTTTGATTGTTCGTCGCAGCTCCCCCTGTAGGGGGGACACTCCCGACACAAGCCTGGGCCGCTCAGCTTCGCGCCCTAGGCGCCCCCGCGCTGCGCGACGCGCAGAGAGCTCTCTGCGCGCCCTCGCGCGCATTCTCTCGCGACCCGCCCGCCTGGAGAGCAGGGCAGCCGCTGCGGCCCAGGCCGCGCCGCGCGGGGCGCGAGACAACCTGCGCGCCCCCGCGGAAGACCCAGGGCTCCGGATCATCCGCG